TGGTGTAAGTTAGAAGACACTGAAGGGCGATCAATCCAAGCTATAGCTTTTGTCCCTGAAGTCATTGGCAATCGAAATGCGTCGTGTTGCTAGGTGCGGTTTATCTGCTTGAGATCCACATGATTATCATGACTCAATTCAGGATCTCACTCAATGGCTAGGAAGAATTCACTTTTTGTCTTCCCCTTGATTGTTAGTTTCGCACTTATACTTTTTAATTACACAAATGCATACCTTCATTTCTAATTATATTGTCAATGCTTAATATTTTTTACTGACACTGATACTGCTACTATTTCTGCAACTCTGACATTTTACTATTTTCATACATTTTGACATGCACGTATATATACCAAGTTCTATGTTATTTATGATTAACTTGATTTAACGTATCATGTCTGTTAGTGTTTGGCAACTTCAGTCGATGTACATACATACCAGGTTCTACGTCGTGACTTATTGACTAAGCATATCATCCCTTGTACAACGTTTATTGTAAAACATTTTGTTGCCAATTCGATTTCCCCCCCATTATTTATGTACATATATGTATTTATATAAATATATACAATCTTCTTAGGTGCCTACACTAAAATTCATGGTAATCGTAAGTTCACTGAATAGATATAAATACATCGGCCAATGTCATTTGCATCCAGTTTATTACTTATTGCAGTTACATAAAAGAAAAAAAGAGAACTTTCTAATTATTTCTTGTTTGATCTGCATGAATGATCATTGATTGATTGATTAATTGTAAAGAACTGTCCTGACTCGAATACAATGTAGACATTTCTTTTTTTTTTTCTCTTCCATTTCATTTCTATTTCTTTCTACATGTCATTTTGTCTTCAATGCCTTTTTGTTAATTCATTTTGCAAAAAAGAAACAGGTTTCTTTTTTTAGATTTTTACTTCACGAATGCCATCTCTATGTGTAATACTTTCCATTCACCTTTTTTTGATTAATGGATAGGTTATATTTATTCATTTATTATACTAATATAATTCTATTATGCACTGTCTAAAGATGGAATTACTATTGGCGCTACTCTTTATTCTGATTCATGCATGTTTTTTTTTGGAACCATTCTTCTTTTCAAATTCCAGGCTTTGAAGAGCGAAAAGATATATGCATGTTTCCTATTATAAAGTGATCATATTCATTGAAATGGTCTTTCTCTCGGAAAACGGACTTGTCTAAAATTTCTGAAATTAAACCTTTTTTTGAATGTGGATAGATCAAAACTCGGATGATTAGTATACACTGTCCCATTCCATGTATGAGGCAATAGTTTTTAGTGGCTCACTAATCTGACTCCGATTTGGATGAACAAGTTAATATGTCATGAATATAAATCTTTCATTAAGTATTTTACCTAGCTTAACTCCGTTTGTGCGACGGTGGTAATAAAAAACCTAATATGATTTCAGTTGAGTGAATTCATTTCAGATACACGTTTATTCAGATAGGCATTAAGAATAAGAAGCGGGAAAAAAGAAACGAAACGAAACAGAGAAAGCAAGCTTCACCCTAGATTTGTAACCAAACAAAAATAAGCTAAAAACATTTAATAAATAAGGTAAACGATACACACATATACGCTCGTATAAAAACAATCAAGGTTATAAGCGAACAATTGACAAGGTCAATATATGGCTGAAGAAAATTAAATAAGTTGGTCTGTGCGGAAGCCAGAATAGCCCATTTAGGTTTGACATAGTACCAGACACTACAAGTTGTCCATCTAAGTCAGTAAAATTTAGTTATACGATGTCGTAAACTAATTGAAGCTAGACATGTACAACGTCGATTCTGGATTTGGTGTTCTAAAAGTTAGGTGTTCTTTGTTTAAGTGATGATCCTTGGCCTGAATTTCTGTTGTGATGGTCGTGAGTGTTCATGGAAAAAAACATATTTTCAGTATTTTCTGATTTTTATTGGCTGTTGAACTTGTTTGGATTTATAATACTAATGAAAATCATAAACTACGCCAACATTGTTTACTTATCTCCTCTTTGTAATGATCGAAATGGATTGTATTCCAGTACTGAAGTTACCAAGTAGTATATTTCAATTAATCACTAATTTTTTAAAATAATTTACTGGCTTTATTGAATTTGAAATGTAATCAGTTGAAAAATATCAACAACAAAAGATAATCCAAACCATTTCAAATCAAATTACTGGTTGTATCTGTTGCACAAGTGAATGGCTATCTAGATTCATTAGCTAAGTGGATAATATGATGGTGTTTGAAACAAACGCTACTGGGTTCCCAACTGGGAGTAGAGATCAACTCACTTCGAGTTGCAGATACATCCAACTGACTCATCCTAGATTCCGCTACTATCTACATTCTGCCTATTCTATATATTATCTGAATTTAGTTCCCGTAATAAGAATTCTGATCTAATTTAATCTGATGTTTAATTAGTACATGAACCCTTTTTTTGTAAGTAATAATGAACTTCAGCTTCGATCAATCATTCATCGACACTATACCAGTCAAATGATGAAATAATATTCATATTTCACTTAAATGAATTGTCTTGTCACTGTATATTTCTCATTTAATACACATTGACTAACGTTCGTAATTCACCCGCGAATAGTTGTGCGTTTTGACTTAATAAACCTTTTAGTTATTTTGTAACTTTTATCCATAATATGCTGTTTTGTTTTTTCCCCGGCCCATCATAAAATCGTAACTACTTTTCAGTAATCTGACAATATTGTTTATTAATATTGTACTTTAGATTGCATAATTTGACATTTTATTATTATTATACTTGATATTGGTGTATTCATCGAGCACCATGTGTGTTGCCTGAGTATTGTCTTAATAGCGTAATGTATGTGTATATAAACAAAGCGATTTTGTTAAACAAACGTAGGTGGATAGCAAAGATTTTTACATAAACAACTTTCAACATAGAAACAATATTACACTAGATAACTTTTGAATACATAATACATTGTCTAGATTGATATTTAATGGGACACAATGTTTTAGTTGGTACATTTATGCTAATCTCTATGGGTTTTTTTGTCCTCCAACTCTCTGTTACGGCCGAGGTTGGGGAGAGAACGCTCTCATATGGCCATGCGTATACAGTCACTACCAGGGAAGCCCTACTTGTGCCTTCTCGCGGCAGGGGTGTTTTTTTACGAAATTGAGAGGATATAAGTGAATGTCCGGCGTTTTAATCGGGTAGGTGTATATGGAGAACCCACTTAGGAGAATTGGAAAACCCTGATTCCAAACCAATGGTCTACATAGACTCCAGGATCCTGATGGGACAAATGGCGTATAAACCCATTGTCGATCACCGGCTACTGTGTGGCTATATCTCCTAACATTGCTCCACATTCTTGTAGACTTGACTTCTAAGTCAAAGGCTTGGGGAGTATCTTCCCAGTAAAATCACTTGCTTTGATTTGGACACCCGTTTAGTATTCCGGCCCTCACATGAATAAATATTTTGTGTGGCACACACATATTTGATACCTCTTTGTACCAGTGTTTATGTGTTTAAATAAATAAATGATTGTTCGTCTCTTTTTCAGTGGAACTTTTAATAATTTTTCTATCATTACAAAAATGATGGTAGTAATTGTAGTAAGATTAAGTAAACTATAAATGGATTTTCTCCACTTTTGAAACTTACACAATTTATTAACATCGTATACCAACTTGTTATAATATTTCTTCATTGCATAGAAATTGATGGTGAATACATAAAATCCAGGACTCAGGTTTCGACCCACTTTGAACTTATTTATCAGTTAAATGTAACTGTACCGCAGCCTAGTGTTCATGTTCACATTGAAACCTGAACCCGACACTTTTCTATCCAAACACCAATGCTAAGCTTATTATTAAGTTGAGGTACATACTAATATATACAATGTATATGAATGTCATATGTTAAGAACGTGTATGTTCCCTTCAATAATGTTAAGCACTTCTCATGAGGTGCACTTATACAGTTGTTTTAACATCAACCACGGAAAAACGTAAACTATGTTTTGAATGTTTGTATTTACTCATTTTTTAAATCCATAAATTCTGGCCGTTTGGATTTAATCGCATTTATTTTTTACTATTCTAATTTGTATGTTGTACATAAACTGACCTTGGAATAAAACGTTCCTTCCTCACTTCGCGCCTTCATTCTTGTGTTCAAGTTTCCGTGTAGATTTAACCTGGGATTATTAGAAGCGGCTAGGAAATAGATTTGGACCTTCATTTAGAAGACTTATCGGATCTGACACTTGGTCGACAAGATGTACCTATAATCTTGAGGGGGACACATGGTGCTTGTTGTATTTGAACCCGCATCACTCAGCTTCGTAGTATGAAACGTTACTTCTCGAGATGCTTGGATCGTCACCTGATACGAATCATTAACTTATCATAAATTTCAAGTATAACATTAAATACTGTAATCTCATTAGGTACTTTAAGTTTACTATCAGGGGAACTAGTTACGCTTGTTTCTGGAAGCCAGTTACATTCAAATATGTAGGACTGGGAGCTACATTATCAACATTTTCAGTCCATAAGCATCTTTTTTAACAAAATTTTCAGTAGTTCTTATTTAGAAAATGATAAGGAGATTCTGACACGTATGGATCAGTGGTTTTGTAACATAAACTACAACTGTTTTCCAACTCTACACTCAAATTTTGTTATTGCTTATTTACACTAGTATTTGCAGTTATCCGCCAATATATGTATAGAACAATTGTATGCAACTAACTGATTTCCACTATTTGTGTGTGTATGTACATATACCTGATTATATTTGCTTGCTTCGTCTTGATTTCATCTTTTTTGTTCTGTATGCATAAAGACTACTCATTTCACGATATACTATATACTTATATATAATTGGATTATCTTAACAAGTCATACTTATCAAATCCAAATTAATTGTTCTCTTCTCTTGGTTTCATCTTTATTTTTCATCATTCTTATTTTTTCTTGTATTTAGACAATACACTAACGATTACTAATGTTACTGTACAGGATATAGGAGTTTATCAATGTATTGCACATCGATGGGATCCCGATCCAGACCAAGAAGAATGGGTATCAGCATCAGCTGTACTAGCAATGAGTTCTGATAAACTTATTCGTACACGTAAGTTGTATCATTTAGCTTTTGTTATTAACTGAGATAGATAGTGGCTAGCAGGGAAATTTAGGGTCTGAGTTTCGTCCTATTCGGGACTCATCAGCTGAATTTATCTGCATTCCAGAGTGAATTGGTATTCAATTCGAGACTCCAGCTCAGTATTGTTTACTTCGAACTCCATCGCTTTACTCGGAGTGAACCCTAGCATCCAAGTACATTTAGCTGACGATGAAACGCGCATCCCAGACTTTACTTCTAGCCACCATTCATTTCTTTATAAAAAAATGTTTGTGACATAATGCCAATATCGAGACGACTTGCAAAAGATATGCCTAAAAGTGACTGATCGATTTCAGTCCTAAATATCAATGGGGAGATTCAAACAACCAATGCAAATAGCTTTGCTGTTGTTGTTTCAGATATTTATTTCAGGCTAAAGTGGGTTTTTGGTATATACACATATATGATCATACACAAGTGTGTGTATGTGTGTTCACTTACTATTTTACACGAGTGGACATGATTTCTATTTATCTAAGCAGTTGATCCCATCCACACATTGTTTTTCTTCCATAGTTCAGTTTATCCATCGTGTTGTAAATGTTTAAGTAGTATGTTATATCCAGCACCCCGCACGTGGAACTCGAACAGAGGACCGTCGGTTTCGGAAGAACCCTTAACTGCTAGACCTCTGAGCCGGGATCGTACAGTGTTAATATCTAACTTCGACCAATCCACGATATTGCATGACCATCTTGGTTGAAGTTAGACATTAACACCATCGGATCCTGGCTAAATGGTCTAGATGCTGGAGGTTCGCATACGAGATCTGAGGTCCGGTGTTCTAGTCCCGCGTGCGGGATCGTGGATGCACACTGCTGAAGAGTTCCATGCTAGGATGAAATGGCTGTCACTGTTTCCAGGTTTTCTAGTGATGGTCAAATATTGATCGATTCGTGATCTCGATAAAAACTCAATAATTCCCTCAACCGTATACTTGAAAACATGTAATCACACACACACACACAAACACTCTTTTTTGTGCCTGCATATATAAATTACGCTGTTCCATGACTATATATCGCTAGAAGAGTTGTTGATCATGACAACTAACTATTAGCTAGTGATAACAATCATAACCTATGATAATAATGTAGATGAAAATTTCATTTCTTTCCCACACACGCATTTGTTTGATAACTTAATTTTCGTTCTTATTATTCTTACAAATATTTACACATTTCCGTATTCATTTATATATATGTATTTTTATTAATTAGCTCAAGAGTTAGCTTTATTACTGCCAACATCGAAACAGGCAATCATGGAGGTGAAACCACCAGGTAATATTTTCAATCAAATTAATAATTCATTTTTGTTAATGTTTAACAAAAGATCTATTTGTGTAGCTAGGTTGAGATTGATGTTTCTTTCATCATAAAATATCGTGAATTATCCTTAGTTGGATATACATATATGAATGTAGTGAACTGTAGACTCCGAACCCAAGTTTCGTGCTAGCTGGTACTCGTCACTAAGATGTACCTGAAACTGTGTTAGAGAACTAGCGCTCCCTATAAGATCATAAACTGATCTTATATAGATCACTATTATAATTCTGGGAGAGCTAAACAGCCGTTTCATTGTAATATAGAAGTTCTTCAGTAGGCGGTCGGCATCTAAGAATCGAATCCAACACCTTCGGTCTCACACGTGAATAGTTAACTTCTAGACCACTGAATTAGTATCTGATGATGTTAATCTTTAATCTAATATTCCCTATTCTAACCGGTTATGGACCGAACTAGAGCAAATGTTGACAGAAATGGTATAAATGTACTGCTTGTAGGTTGACTAAATAGACTATAAAGTAATATTTCTTACTTCTGAGATAGAAAACAGTGTTAACATAAAGCTCTATGTTGCATTCTTACCTACATAGTCACAAAAAATTGCTAGTGAGCTACTTAGGATGTGACTGTCGCGAGTTCTAATGCCATAGGGGAACGCATCAGTTCAGCCCTCAAGTTTGCAGGTGTTTATACCTTGCTGATGAATCTCAACACCAACGAGTTATCTGTGTTCAGATTGTCTTCCTGACTAGGATAGTTTAATACTGGCCAAATATATAAATGTATTATTTGCTATTGTGTTCCAATTTCAATCAGTCAGTCACAACGTAGGACCAGACACACATATGCATCGGCCCAAGTTGCCATACCTCGTTAGCACAACAAGATGAACACCGAATTCATAGAAGTAGTTAATTTAGTGGTGATAATAAATAAAAGTTTGTATATAAGGATATAGTACAAGAAGACATATGAAGCGATTTTAATCTCAAGGTTTAAGGGAAGACAAAGAGTGTATACACCTACACCATTGTAATCGATTCTGAACCATGTCACCTAGAGTCTCCAACCATTGGTTACGATAGCCGCGCGGATCCCCACCAAGTAGTCTACATCTACCAACATGGCTCAGACTAGAAGTTAGTGACTTTAATGACCGATGACAGGTTTCGGTTTGACTGCCCCTAAATTTCTTTCAACCATCGCCAATACTAGTCAGCATAGCGCGTCTCGGTAATCAGTGTTCAAGCATACGTAACACGTGGCCCAACCATCTCAGTCGATGAAGATTCATGACCTCACCAACTGATTTACCATCATTCCTTAATACTTTGCGTCTAACCTCACTACTACTTACCCGGTGATCCCAGCACATGCGAGCAATATTTCTAAGGTATCTGTGGTCAAATACTAGTACCCTGCGAATATCTACCCTTGATGGCCACGTTTCGCAGCCGTAAAGTAGATGTTCCAAGTTCACGTTATATAGTTAGTGCGATTATATAATTTCATAAATTTTCTTATCCCATATATCGTGTTGAAAGGGTATTTTGTCTAGATTACTTTTTCTTCCGATTGTTTTATTACATTATTTTCTTTTGCAATGCAATTCAGATTTGAGATAATAATACACCAGTACGTTTTTGTGCAACAGGTGTTTACGTTTTTTTAAACATAGATACAGACACATGGATAACTTATTTCAAACCAGGCATTCCATTGAATATTCATTATTTCTTATTTCATTATATTCATACATCTGTTTAATATGAATAGTATAATTGGATTTCGCATAAAATGTGTAAATTTTCTTTGTTTGTACGCAAACTAATTTGTGTGTAAGTCGTGGGGTTAGACTACATTGACATATATTCACAGAAAACATGTAGACATCTTAAGATTCTCGGGATGAAATCATCAGTCAGTCAGTCACAACGTAGAACTTCGTATGTACGTACATCAGTTTGAGTTGCCATACCACATGAGCACAGAGATGCAGTTGTCGATTCAAATCCCATAGTGTTAGAACTAGTAAGAGTATAAGCAGCAATCCGAAAGATTAGGGTTTAAAGATGTTATTGGAGGAGTATAATCCAGTGAAATAAATTTGAAAAGAGAAAAAGGATACGGACATGAAGAATTCAGATTAGAATTTGGTAGAACACAAAGAGTGGATGCACCTTCGCCATTGCAAACGATTTTGAGCCATGTCATTCAAGATCTCTAACCATCGATTGCTATCATCTCGCGAATCCCAACCAGTTAGTTTACACCTACCAGCATGGCTCAGTCCGATTGTCAGTGACTTCATGGATTTGTGCCACGTTTTAGTCTACCCCCCCTACTACTTCATCTATCGATTTTCCATCCTTACCTATTACCCGTTTCCGAACAACTGCATTACTTACTCGGTGGTCCCAGGATATACGAGCAATGCTTCGAAGTCACCTATGATCGAATACTAGTAGCGTACGAATATCCTCTACTCTTACGGGCCATGTTTCGCTGCCATAAAGTAGGACAAAACGAACTGCTGCACAGTAAGCCCGTCCTTTGTTTGCTAGGCGGATATCTCGCCTACGCCATGAGTGACGCAAGTTGACAAAAGCTAGACGAGTCTTCTGTATCCGTGCTGAGGTTTCGTCAATCACCAGACCACAAGGGCAGTGGAGAGTACACTTTTATATGCAGTTTTGACACACTGAATAAACAGGAAAGTTCTCGAAGTTTCTAGTTCTTCACGATTTTATTGAATATTGAATAAAGGATGGTTATACTCAAATAGTTCAATCATACTAAACATTTAAACTAGTTGTAGTGAACGAGAACTCAGGTGGGGACAACCAGTTTATTATTCCATACGAAATTACAGAATATCTTCGTAAAATATGGGAACTATTACATAAAATGATTCATTTGCAAATCTTTCAATTCATAATTCCTTTCTATTTCCCTTCCTGATTTGCTCAACTGGACCTTCTTAGCCTTCTGTTGCCAGGTGTTCCACTTCTGATTGATGTTACATACTTCTTATATCTGTCGACATAAGTAGCATTCACCACATAGTTATTGACCGAATCACAGTCAGTATTAAAAAGGATTTCATGTCTGAACTAATTGAATAACTGTATTGTAACATTTCTCCCTTCTAAACATAAAACTTCGTATTGGATACAGTATAACATGTTACTAAGTGTCCTTCAATATCAAGGATCTACAATGCACATCTTGATCATTACTCTACAGCTTATCACTAGTATTATGACTCTCCGTCTCAACTAATCCTTTTATATTAACTGCCTACATCACATTGTGATCTTTGACGAATTAGTATTTAAGTTGTTAGCCATCACATCTCATTCTACTCTCCATCGTTAATCAATAATCAGTCAGTTAGTCATAGACAACAATTATTATATCGGTCCACATTGACCTATCAATGTAAACAACAACTGGGGAAACTACACACGCACATCAATTGCTATGAGGTCAATAAAATGGGTAATGTATTACTACTTCATAACATAAAGTTTAAATATTAGAAGGGGTTTTGTGGAGATTTGGTATGTTTCATAGTTGAAAGCATGAGTCAGTTGAAGCTAGACCACCGAGGAAAACCTGGAAACACTGGACGGCCGTTTCGTCCTATTATGGGACTCCTCAGCAGTGCGCATCCACGAACCCGCTCTCGCGAGATTCGAACCCAGGACCTACCAGTCCTGGATACCAGCTCAGTGGTCTATCGGTTAAGGGCTTCGGCTCGAGACTGGTAGGTCCTGAGTTCGAATCTCGCGAGAGCGGGTTCGTGGATGCGCACTGCTGAGGAGTCCCATAATAGGACGAAACGGCCGTCCAGTGTTTCCAGGTTTTCCATGGTGGTCTAGCTTCAATTGACTCATGCTTTCAACTATAAAGTTTAAAGCTTAAATGGGAAGAAAAGAAATGGATGTCACAACCACAACACATCAACTCTAGATATAATGATTATCTTGTGAACACGCAAGGTTGTATCTGTGTCTAAACTACCATCTGGCCTACCGTGATTCTAACTAACTTTGACAATTCGTTGCTCGCGTAATATCATGGATTGATTAAAGTTAGACATGTACACCGATAAATTCTCGGTTCAGTTTTCTGAAGGTTGAACGTTTACACATGGAACCGAACATCCTAGGTTTGATTACTTGTGATGTGGTCGTGAGTACACAGTACCACTAGGAAGTCCCATACTATGACGAAACAGCTGCTCAATGCTTCCAACTTTCAAATAGTTGTCTATATTAGATCGGTTTGTGATCACAATAAAACTTGTTTAGAATTCGCCCACCCACTAGATAGAAGGATTCTTACAACAAAATAAATTTTTTTTTCTGACTGTTAGTCATTTTACTGACATATCCCCATGTTGATTTGTAAATTTCACAAGTTTTTGCGTGCTTTTTCACTCAAAAATAGAGATATATATATATATATATGACTAATATCATTGATAGTAATATTGATGGTATTGCCTTCCCCCCCTTTTGATTTATTTTTCCATCTTAGTATTAACGTGTTACAATTAAAACCCTATATTTCTATGTGAATAGACTGATTGTATATTCCCTATATGGGAGGAAGTTTCTATTTCTGTTTTGTTTGGATATTTAAACGTATACATATTGCTTTTGCATTGAATATTATTTTGGCGTTATAGATAAAATCGAATCAGTGAAGCTAAATATAAACTTTTTGGCAGAAGAAAAGGAAGGATACCCAACCTTCTAAATCCTCTCTCTCTCTCTCCTATACTTTTAATCTCTGTTTTATTTACACTCACCTTTTTACCTCCTATACTCTACTAAGCTGACTAATCAATTATTTATTTATTTAATTCATTTATTTATTTATTACCTATCATTATTACAGTTATCATCACTTTGTACCAGGAAACTTTGTTGTTGATGCGTTTATGTATGTGTGTGTGTGTGTGACTCATACCACTGTTAATTTTATTAACTTTGGAAAAACAACAGTAGGATATACTTATGTATATCTTATAAATAGAGGAAACTAGAATGAAGATAGATGTTTCGTTTATGTATGAATGTCTATTCCTCTATTTTATTGATTTTTATTAAGAAAAACAATCAGTATTCATTTTCGTCTTGTATAAGAACATGGTAACAAAATATAGAGTTAGTCATGTTTAATGAAGATGGTTCAACATTTGTACTATTGTTAGAGAATGAAGTAGCCAGGTAGGTGCCTAATGCCCTTCATTTATCTCAGAAGTCTCATCATCTCCGTTCAATTAGTGTTTAACATAGATTCAGAATGCTTGTTTGATTTTTGTCAACCTACGTTATTTGTGGCATAGGCGAAATGTCAATCTATCAACATAAGTTGTGTACTGATGCATTTACTTATTGTCTTCTTTTCGATTCTGAGTTTCGAAATAATCATGTACCTTTTATTCTGCAAAGTAATTCTTTATTCTTGATACTTTTTTTGCACTCACTAATAAAACTTCTTTTAATTCGGTATGGATCTTAATGTACTGATAATTGTATGGCGACTTGGACCGATGCATTTATATGTCAGGTATCTATCTCACTTATGACTGATTACATATTTAATTCGTTTTTGTTCAATTATGAAATGGTTGTACAACCGGACTGATTGACCATCAAAAATGATCGGTTTTAACTATCTATGTTATTCCTTCTTTTGCTGTTTTTCTTTTCCCTGAATTTCAACTGTCACGTAGAACAGTTGTTTTCCTGTTTTAAATATATTGATGTGGTTCCAGTTGACATCATTTTTACACTGAACCCGACATCTTGGTTCAATTGTTTTTATGAAATTAAAAGTATTTCACTTTTTTCGACTTTTGAGTTAAACATTCCAATTAGTTGCATTTTAAACACACTGAATTGTTTACGTATTTGATTCATATATTTGCTTTTACGTCATGTTTCATGTGGTACCGAGTAAAAACAATTACTTGACTACAGTAGCGAGCTGCGGAATCCTAGTGTTCTGTGATCTAGTTATAACTGTATACTGGTGTTGATATTCATCTTGAAGACCATAATCCACTACATATTTCCTCAAATTTCAACGTTTTACACCTTGAGCTACTGATTGACGATATTCACCAACTTATTATTTGCATTGGTAAATATAATCAACGAGTGAACACATAAACGCTTACAAATAAATTCATTGGTATTTGAGGTACCAATATTTTTGTTATGGATTCTACACTGATAACCCTTTATTCAAAAATATCTGTATTACGGTTGTGTTATTAAGATATCAGCTTCTCCAAAAAAAGAAAGAAAGTGTGTATGCCAAATGAGTTTTAGGAAACAATTGATTATCCATACTGTCATGTCCCGAAGAGAATTATGAATAGTAACTTTGAGAACTATTTATTGACCAATGTGATACTTATATCTTTAGTGTATAATTGTTAAGTAACGTAACTATTCATATTGATGTTCCTCTTATGATAAGCTTTATTTTGACCTATGAACTATTATTATACGATTTACCGTTCTTGAGTTATCCCCAGTCTATTAATTACTGTCTCCCACATTCACAGCCACATTTGGCTAAATCTTGTACGAATATTGTTTTTTATTTTATGATATGATATGGTCTGTTTAGTTGGTATATAAACTCAGTATGTTTGAAATAAATGATTCATATCGCCGAGGCTGTTATAGGTGTCCTGGAAATAATAGACAGGGCTAGGCGGGAAGCAAGGATCGATAAGGACTCTAGACTGCGCGTACGGGTTTTATGTGTCATTGGTTCGATCCATAATTCACTGTACTCTAATTGGCGGTATCGTTACGTCATATATTAATTGGAGTACAAACCCACAAGATGTAACAAATACCGTTACAACAATAAAACACAAATTTCCGATAATCCATTAATCTTTTTATCAGATAATTTTATTTCTCTCTTTCTAAACTTCTCTACCTTATTTCATCTAGTCCTCTATATGTTGTCGTCTTTTTTCTCTTCCTCTTATCATTTAGAAATAATCACTGATAGTTTAACACCTATTGCTGAACCAGTTTATGATAATTTAGCGGTATATATTACATGGAAAGCATATACTATCACTAATCCTAATAAATTGGAAACACAAACTCATCATGATGGTGATAATGATGTTATCGGTAGTGATAATAGTAATAATAATAATAATAATAATGCTGAAAATAACGCAGCACAAATTGCTTACCATGTTGAATATTCCATGCAAATAAGTCCTGTTGAAAGACAATATTATATCAATTCTAATCTAAATAACGATGTTACTGACAATACCAACCATAATAATGGTAGTAGTAGTAGTAGCAGTAATAATCATAGTAATAATAAGCCATCTTCTGACTTATCTGATTTGCCTGCTTTAATTGGATTAATTGGTCATGAAGCTATCTTGTGGAGTGATCCAACTGCACTTAATCAACAAGTAAGTTTTCAACGTTAATTTTTCGTTATCATATTGTGGGTGAATTGATCATGTGTACTTGTTTTAATATTGAATAGCTTGCATGAACCGTGAAGCAGTTTGTGAAAAGTAGATATAATAATAATAATATATATTCTGAAAATAATATTTACAGAATTCACACCAGTTTACAGGCATGATCAGATTGTTATAAAAATCAACATTTAATGTAGAGAGCAAACATGAAATATAAGAAAGTTTTATGTCCGCTGGTTTAGTAATTGATAAATAGTTTGTATATGGCTGGCCAATGCAACACCAGGGAACTTGTCATTTTTTCTTAAGTGGATAGCCTGATGTTCTGTAAGGTTATTTCTAGTGCCAAAGAGAGTTATTGATAATTATCTACAACTAGAGAAAGTAAGAGTAAAGCAAAGAGCACGGAACAACAAAACAATGATAGCAAGTAAGAGGTTAAACATTTAAAGTTCCGATAATCTCACTTGTGGAGTAAGATACACTTGCAGGCGCTAGAGCATTTAATGCATTTTCAGAGGAGCAAAAGGCATTAATTGAGCGAACAAACAATGGGAGAGAGTTTAACATACGGGTAGTTTAAGGTAAATTATTCCAGAGCCTAGAAAGACAAGGAGTTACGAATGTCGTAATGTGAGGCTTTAGCGTATTGAATCGCCTGGCTGGATGTGAAGGAGAATGAATGTTATGTTGTGCGAGCTGCCTTTGTACGCGTTGATGATGGTGTTTCTCCTTTGCAAAAAATAGAGCTACATTTTGGCAAATAGTGTGCACTTGTCTCTTGAGCCAAGTTTGATTAATAAAACGTCTCAAAGCAACGTTCACATAATAAGCACATATTACTTTGGAGTCATATGCTGTATATTATGAATAAATGGTGTTTAGCAGTGGGATCTAGGATCCACGTTTTGTTTTACATGGGACTCGTCACCTGAATGAAACTGCATTCCAGTATTATTGATGTTCACATTCGAATTCGGATCCGTTACTTTTTGCTTTCAATCCCCAACGCGTTATCGATAGACACTATAGTATTGCAATGCTTCGCGCGTATACATTGGTATATGCAACATAATTTAATAAATCAAGTAATGGTTATTCAATGCTTTACCAGAATAATTTTCACCACTTAAGTTGGCTAGGACCATATAGTACGTATGCACAGCCACCACTTACTATGATGAGCAATGTTATCTGGCGTAGGCATATGTTGTAAGTAATCTAGTAGCGACCAAAGAAAAATGGAACATCAGTTCATGAAGCTATTGAGAATTTTACTGGAGAATGTAAGTATTTTCAGGTGTAGACCACCTGATTGAGAGTGGACTTGGTTCTCGTGATAATCGGAACAAATGGTTAGAAATTTTGTGTGACAGCATAGAATAACTCACAATGGCGCAGGTCCATTCACTATTTGTCTTCCTTAACAACCTGAATCTCAAAACCTCCCTATTATGTGAAATTCTGTTATTATTCTACTGCTACTACTTTGGGGTTCGTTTTGAATTGGTTTTATATCACTGCTATTGTCGTTTGGCAACTTGAACTGATGCACGTTATGTCCCAGAATTCACGTTGCATGCAATTGACTTGATTTTCTAACTCATTCTTATGTTGACAATTGTCAATTGTTTCGGTAGAAAGTTATGCAATCGTTTAAAAATAATTTCAGTAAATATTTCCTATCTTTCTATTTTTCTTTTTTAACTATCTCCCCCCACCAAAAAAAGTTTTCATCGGCATATGCTTATGCAACTGGTGATCCGTTACAACCAGGCAGACGTTATCGTTTTCGTGTCATTGCTTTGGACCCATCTACTGGACTACATTTAGTCCCACCATCCGGTTGGTCAAATATAGTTAGTATGGAGCATATTAGTCAGGTGGATCCACCACAAATCAAAGTGGTCCGACCTATGGTAAGTCTGATTTATTTCATTTTACCCTCTTTCCTTATCTCGACCATCAATATCAATTTAATGGTCATAGCAATTATGTGCTCAATTGATGATTAATTTCAAGTGGTAATCTACAGAGTTCTAGTAAGAAACTATGTGGTCAATGAAAAAGTTCAGCCACGTTGGAAGTGAGGCAATTACCTACTAAAGTTATTGGATGACGTTTGCTCAATATTGCGAGTGAACTGCAGTTAAAACTTTAAAACACTGAATGTAGACTCAGTAGTTTCAGTGGTTAAACTTCCTCCTCGAAACCTAGTGGATGCTGAGTTTGATCACTGATGGAGTCACAAATAAAAACTATTTATGAATCTCATACTAGGATGAAACAACTAATCAGTACTTCTTAGTTTTCTTTTTCTGAATGGTTGCCTACCTTAAATCAATCCATGATTTAAACTTCGAAATAAATATATTATAAGGAATACTACCATTTTGTAGTTCGATTCGTTTGGAATCAGTGTTGACACAGAGTTAGTTGCTTAACGAATAACACAGCCTAACTAAAGTTGTAGTATGTTTTGGCATGGCTTACATTAATGATAAATGATTTCGAGATTGTTTTTAAATTAAATGCAATATATACGAACTAGATAGATTAGAAAATGAATACGCAATACACTATGGAACAGAGAGGATTTGAAAACTCAGGAAAAAGCTTGATATTATGAGTCAAAATTACAACAATTCTGTTTGTATAAGCAGTAACTATGACTTTGAGGTACAACAAACAGTGAGAACTACTAATCAGTTAACAGAAAAGATCAGTTAGTAAAGATGAATGGGAAAAAACTTATCAAAGTCTTCCTTTCACCTCAGAACTATTATTTATTAAATGATTTAAAAGTACGAAGTAATTTGAGATCTTTCTAGTTAGTTGAAAGATGTAAGTCATTGAATCACATTTTTCAACGATCTAGATGTATCCTACACGCTATAGTGAAAATCTAAATCTATACTTTATTCCCTTTGGAGTCTTGAAATACACGTTAGCAATAGATTTTAAATTAGGACACGAAATCTTTTCATCCCTTTCAAGTACATTGGCTATCAAGTACAGTTCTCCAGCTGTAAAATCAGTTCATGACTGTCTCCTTTCCTCGTGAAATACCTTCAACCTTCAAATCTTGATAAGCCGTAGACAATGAAATTCAACCATGTCAGATGTGAGACAGTTATCTATCACAGGTAGTGAAAAATGATCTCACAATTTCGTGAATCGATTGAAGTTAGCTCTATACATCATTTACTTTCTATTCAGTGGTCTAGAGGTCAAGTGTTCTCGCGCAAGACTAAAGCTCTTAGATTCGATTCCTTGTAATAGGGTCGTGAATCTACATAACCATTAAGGAATCCCATAAGACGACGAAACGACCGTCCAGTTCATTCAGTTTTCCATTGCTGAACTAACTGAAATCAGTTCATTAATTAGAAAAATCCGTGAAAATTATACAATCTACACATATCCCCCCCACACTAAATCTCTTATAAATTAATCACTGTCTTTTTTTATACCAAACTGGATGCACTTACATTTAATTAAAAGTTTGAAGTGATAAAACTGCACAATTTCGCTACCCTTATTTTTTTCACATAAATAACGTACACCTTAGATAATATAATTGAATCCATAACTCCGATATACAAATTTGTTTGAAAAAGTAATTATTTAATTCATCTAGTGTATGTGTGTGTTTTGTTTCATGATTGTTTTCTTTAATTTTGCTGTATCCTGCTGGTATTATCTTTTTTTTTTCTTAAAATAAATGGGGTAGGGGAGCTTCTAAGAGAGAAGAGATGGTGACCTCCGATTATAGTAGCAACGATCAAATTAAATGTATAACTTGCTTGCTCTACCCTCACCCCTTATCCTTATCTTTTTTTACTTATCTGATTAATTTTGTTGTTGCTGTGTTATTGTAAGCACTTTGAATAAAAAGTAATAAACTTGTCTTAAATCAGTTCAGAATTGAATTCTTTTTGTCCTACTCCCCATCATCACCACCACCTTTTGTGTAAAAAACAATACAATGTTGAACTGCTATTTCGTGTACTCGTTGGTCTCTTAGTGTATTCACTGAAACCGAACAAAGACAATTAAGTTTGTTTCTTTCAAGTATATAATGAATTAGTTTGTTTTTTGTTTAAATTTATTCATCAAAAAAACCGTTATCAATTATTTTATTAGGATGGGCAATTTGGCGGTTAGTGTTCAGTTTCAAATAGTAGTAGTCAACGTTTTAGCTAGACAACTATTAGAAGTCCGGGGATTTATGAAACTAGAGAGTAGTATAAAACTTCACAGGAGTGTATACCTGCAGACTCATCTGAATTTATTCAGGCCCATCGTATTGAGGTTGTTACTTTCATAATACTGAAGTTGTATTAAGTGATTGACAATTATAACGTCAGTTCTCAACATTGTCCTACTATTATCCACTAGTGATATTTGTCATATATATGTATTAGTTGAACTCCACTGGTCGTGGCTTTTCACTAGAACTCTTCCAGATGAAAATAATCACGATTTGTATTTCATTGAAATTTATTTTCGATGAAAGACGTATTGTTGGGAACCTGAAAGCACTGGACGACCATTTCATCCTAATATGGGATTCCTCAGCAGTGCACATCCACCATATCTTCTACTATCACTGATACTTTCACCATTTCCTCTCTGTGACATATTTGTCTTGTTAATTTCATCTATTTGTGCTATTGTAGTATGTGGCAACTTGGATCACTACATATATGTGCCAGGTTTTGTTGTACTTATAACTGACCGCTAATATAGTACACCGTCACTCTAGAACAGCATCATTAATGCTAATAGTTCGTATTTTTTTTTAAAAACTTTTCTTACGATTTATTCGCCTTTCTCGTTTCCCTCCTTCCCCGCCCCACAAACACACACTTACTCCATGAATCTCAGTCGGAAGGTCGAGTTCATGTAGTATGGATGTTCAATGGTGTTGGTGATGTTCCTTCAAATCCTAATGATTTAAGTATTTTATCCAAATCATCAAGCTCTTCAACTCAAAATAATAATAATATTGGTTCATCACAAAAAGATAAATCATTAGAAATTACTTCTAATTCTCTAACTACTTTCGGTGATACAACACCATTATTTCTTAAAGATTCAAATAATGAACAATTTATCGCTGATCATTTTCTTATACTTGCACGACCTGTAATTAAACCAAAACGTGGTTCTGGTGGTACTATTGAATATGGTGCTTATTGGGCTACACAAGTGAATGGTTCTAATGCTAGAGTAAGTGTAATAGTTATTTTGTTGAGACAAAAATCAATTTTTACATAATATGAAATATTTCTAGTCTCTATTTTTCATGGTTATATATTTATTTATGGAATGTTATGTCTAAATATCCAATTCTAAGTTATGTTTTTTAGAAAATTCTATCCCTTTTACTTGATTCAAAAAGCTCGTTTGGCTTTTGCCAACTTACGTCACCTATGGCGAAGACGAGATATCCGTCTATCAATTAAGGGACTAATATACTGCTCAGCAGTTCGCTCTGTTCTACTTTACAGCTGTGAAACATGGCCATTACGAGTAGAAGATACTCGTAAGTTACTAGTATTTGACCACAAATGTCTTAGAAATATTGCTCGCATCTGCTGGGATCACCGGGTAAGTAATAGTTAGGTTAGACATAGGGTATTAGGGAATAATGGTAAATCTGTTGATGAGGTCGTGAATCTTTATCGACCGAGATGGTTAGGCCACGTGTTACGTATGCCTGAATACCGATTACCACGGCGCTCTATACTGACTGGTGTAGGGGATGATTGGAAGAGGGTTACGGGCGGTGTTCATCTTGTTGTGCTGACGAGGTCTGGCAACTTGGACCGATGCATATATGTGCCTGGACCTACGTTGTACCTGACTGACTGAGAATATCGTGGATTCCTGACCGTAGTTGTTAAATTAACATGATCACTATGTTACATATCATGAAATCAAAAGTTGTAAGTCTATGATTTATTGGTGAAGTTATGCTGTCATCCGTTCTTGGATTTTATTGTAACATATTTCTTTATGGATAATCAGCATTTTCTCCCAGCTCATTGAAGAATTGTGAAATGTTGATTTTAAGTTTGACACACCTCACTTTGTTTCATATATTCTTAGTGCAGATGATAACGCATAATTAGTACAAGGCGGATACGGCAAAAGCTAATCACGAAAAGATCGTATATAGACTTGGCTGAAAGCTATTGTCTCTCGAACTTTGCATTCATGCTTCTAAGTCTCAAGATTGATACTAATACAGTTTCGTTTTCAGGTACCTCACAAAGAAATATCTTTCGACAATGTGTACAACTGTAAAGTGACAACTATCTACACATACCTCTAACAGCAGCTAAGCTTATCTTGGTTTTATAATGTCAATTCGAATATTTAATTTGTAGTTCCTATGCTTGAGCACGTAAATCTACAATTGAATCAGTTGGCTTGTGATATCTACATGAACTAAATTACTTCAAATTTAATTTGATTTGATCCATTCACAGTTATCTGTTATTAGGGTTTCCAAAACATTTTTACAGTTAAACCGTCCAGTTAGAAAAATACACGACTCTCTATCCTCAAAGATCGTAATACTCATAACTTGTTAGTGCTACTCAGGCACATGATGATAATCATTCATTCATTTCGTCCTTGATACCATAATGAAGATCGTATCATTGTAGTATCACTTCATACCTCTGTCACTTACTGTTTATTTATTTGTCTAAACGCATAAACATTGGTATAAGGAGTCACCAAATATATATGCGCTACACTTCATCATTCGATTTGTGTGAAGCCTGGATTACTGCTCGAGCGCTCAAACTGAAACAAGTCTGTCACTTACGATATGGATCATTGTGTCAAATGTGTAATATCCCTTTGAAAATTACCTTTTGATTACAACTGAAATTTATCATACATACAACACTGAAACGAAATTCTCACTACTTTTACCTATAAATTCCTACTTTAAAAAAATATTTAATTCAGTCGTATATAAAAGAAAAGGAAACAACCTTGTGAATTCAGATCAACCCCATCTTCTAATTGTTCTATCGAAATTTATAAAGGGGACTAATTGTCTTAAAGTTGCGAATTCTATTTCATCTTTCTTTTGGTACAAATGTCTTTATCAGTTACCGTTGAATAATTCTCATGTGAAATGATGGCAGATCGGTAGGTAACCCAATATTTCAGATCTTCAATTTTTAACTTCAAATTACCTAGTTTTGAACTTCATTTGCGATAAAAAATGCGCTAGTACCAATAGGCCTTCACAAACCATTTATACTTAGTAACTGGGTTATTAAGTATAATTTAAATGTCTTACATTCTGATGAAGAATATTGTTCGTATATTTGTGACTTATACATGTTTCATTTACATAGTTTAAATCATGAGTTAATTGAAGCTAGACCACCATGGAAAACCTGGAAGCACTGGACGGCCGTTTCGTCCTATTTTGGAACTCCTCAGCAGTGCGCATCCACGATCCCTCCATCGGATGCCGGCTCAGTGGTCTGTCGATTAAGTGCTCCAGCACGAGACTGATAAGTCCTGGGTTCGAATCTCGCGAGGCGGCGTCAAAAATGCGCACTACCGATGAGTCCCACAATAGGACGAAACGGCCGTCCAGTGCTTCTAGGTTTTCCATGGTGGTCTAGCTTCAATTGACTTGTGATTTCAACTATGAAAATACTGAAATCTCCACAAAACCTCTTCTGATATTTCATTTAGCTTAATAATGATTATAAAAAAATATTTTTCTATTTAATATTTCTTATTTAATAATGAATAATTGTATATTTATTTGCTTGATTATGCAGGATGGTTTATTGACAGGTTTGAATAATACTGCAAATTATCAAATTATAGTTTATGGAGTTAAAGGAACTGGTGATAACCGACAAATTACACGTTTCTCTAAAGCAGTTTATGTAAATATGGCTGTAAGTTTTGTATTGTCCAATGTATAAACATCGTCTATGTGTACGTGTATGTGTGTGTGTGTGTAAACGATCCGATTATTTTTTTCTTTTAACAATAATACTAACAAAAAACACGGCTTAATCACAGTTAATGAATATCGTTAAATGGATTAATCTTTCCTCAGATTGTACACTTATACTAATCATGACCACCTTGTGTAACTTGATCGATGGAATTAGATGGACAACACCTAGGGGACCATTAGTTATCGACAAAAGCATTGATTTTTAATGCTGAATAGTGTATGATTAATCAGTCTATATATCTCAATTCTACATAAATTTCAATCACCTCTGGAATAAGTTTTCAGATTGTCAATGCTGGCTGATGCGAGATTTTAAATATCATGAGGAGAGAGAGAGAGAGAGGAACATCAGTTCTTTTAATTTAGCAGAACGATCGTTTGAGAGAGTACCAACTAACATGAACATTGAATTAACTATAGCATCTTATCGTTTGCGCTCAACTATTAATATTTTCTATAGAAAAAACAAACAAACAAACAACCTACTTTATATGTATCAGTTATTAAGTAAATTATGTACAATGTTATAACATTTTAACACTCTAGCATGAAATTTTTCAACTTGTACCCATTGTTATAAGTCTTATGTTGGTTATAACTGAGAGACGAACACTTTTTTAACTTTTTCTAAATTTCTAATATAGAGGAAAGTCTGGGTCTTCTTTCCAATGTATACCCTCAATCTTACGTTGTAAATAGTCATATGACAATCACTTCCATCGTTTTAATGATTCTATGTACCTCATTTTTTTTATGAATTACTTTTTACATGATAACCGGTTCAAAAAACACAAATCGGTGGACAAGCCTAATTGTGATATTTTTTGAGGTTATGTCATGTCATTAATCTTACCTAATTTTGGAAAGTAACTGAGTTCATGCCCACTACTCATCTGAAATATTTTGTTAAGTGTTTAGATATAGTTGTCAAGATACCATGTTGGATTTCAGTTCCATGCTAGTTAGGTTCTATCATGTAACCTTTAAGAAACTGATGCTCCCTATGGAATTCAAATTTACACTGGCCAGTTTTACAGTCTGAAATGGTTACCATTGTTAACTATTATCCCCCCTCCAACTAACTGAAATGTTTACAATTGATTAATCACTGTATCGAATTCGGTCAGCACTAAAGTAGAACTTGACACACATGACGGTGATCACTGCCCAGTGATCAATAAATTGCAAATACATCTCAGTCGGATAGGAGGTCAATTGTGGCTCGGATAACTCAATGGTAATATATCTGACTATGGAACTGGTTGGTACAGAGTTGAATCTGCTAGAGAGCATTAGTTTCGAAAACTTCACAAGTGCACCTTGCTAACGAGTACTGGATAGCACAAAACGTGGGTCTAGGGTTTCCTATCCACTACCTCAAACGACCACCCACTCAACATAGTACACGTTATATCGAGTCACTTAAACTAGTGGCCTCATTGCAGTTAATTCTAGAGAATTCGTACAGCACTAAGAAGGACTAATGGAACATGACATTGGTCTTTACTCAGTAATCAATCAATTTTAAATAGTAATGTCGTGTTTGTCTATTCTTTTTTCACATGTTACTAATTGAGTTTTAAACTATTGGAAATGATTATTTCTGTAATGAGTTTTGTTTTCATCGTTCTATTTATTCGCACCTTTTTTTGAACATACTTCATTCCAAAACAGTCAACTGATTACACTGGTCGTTACAGTTTACTGGATACTTTAAATAATAATCGTTTATTATACATAATCTTGGGTGGTATAGCTGGTGTAATGTTTCTAGTCATGTTCATACTGATCCTGTTGTGTCTTTGTCGTCAACATCAAGATCGTCGTACACATAGTCAACGTAAAAAACAAAGTAAGTGTGTAAATAAATATCCTGTTGAATTGATTAGTTTTCTTGACTTACTGACTTACCGTCAGCAGTGTCGGTATTTTAGCTTAATGTCTTCATCAACAGCTATTAATTAAACTCCAACAGAATACTAATGGTTTAAGCTTTGGTCTGATTCACTAAATTTCTAACTATGCGTAGATCTGTGCAGACCCTTCATTATTTATCATCACTTCTAGGCTTCTCAGTTCAAAATCATTTATGTCAATATAGTTTTCATCTTGAACTCAAAGTTAGTAGATGTATTGCGTGACCGTTTTGTTTTCTGAGCTGAGAGCTGGTTTGACTCCAATGGAAATTTTCTTATCGGGAAGTATTTACCATCGCCGTTTCTAACTTGACCCTCCATTCTATATAGTTTACAAGTTCATAGCTTAAGTTGTTTTAAACGTCACTAATGGATAGTATGTACTAGAAAATGCAGAGCAGATCATATGCCGTTCCAAGAACCCATGGTAAGTGAGAAATACAAGTGTCGACTGAGCTACTGTGGCTAACTCAAGGTGACGACCCACATTTCTTTGGATCAGTTATATATATATATTCAGTTTTTGGTAAAATTGAATTGTGTCTAACAGTGGAATCTAGGAAAAGTAAGTACGTTCACCTGATCAGTCCGAATAGCACGAAACTCTCATATTGAATACAGTTAAAAAAGAAGAGTGTAGTATGGAAGTATTAAGAAATTCCCGAAGGAAAATTCAGTTAAAATTTCCAAAAAAATGTAAATGCCACAACTGCAATCACTTCACTTTCATGTGTTGTTACTTAATATTTCTAATCACCTATTACGATTGTTCTCCAACGAAATTACTTTGTATATACACCAACGTGACTAGTTTGTAAGTAATAGGGTCGTAGGGATTGTGGAGTTTCATTGAAATCATTAACTGGTCAGTGTTAGACCAACACTGAAAGCTTGGAAGCGCCTGTTTTTTCCTAATGCGTGACTTATTAGTGTTTGTGTGATATACGGCTCTGCAACTGGAACCCGAACCCAATACTTTCGGTTTCACACACGAACGCTTTACTTCTAGACCACTGAGCCGTCATTTAACGGTATTAGTGTATAACTTCAATCAATCAGATATTTACACCGTTGAATACCAACTTAGTGGTCTAGAAGTTAGACGTTCTCGCGAATGACTGTAAAGGTCTTGGGTTAGATTCTTGTGTGCGAAGTTGTGGATGCGCACTGTACATTGAAGAGTTCCACACAAGAACGAAATGACTATTCAGTGATTTTGAAATTTTCAGTGATGGTCTAATATTGATCGAATAATAATTTCCATGACTAAGTGATAATAATAATTATTATGAACCTGTGTGTTTACTGATAATTCTTTCAATTTTTATTATTTAAAGATGGTTATGTACACGGGTATAAAGATTCACCGGATTTTCATCATACTATTGATGGAATAAATAATCCCCAATTATCGCATGGTAATATGATATCAACTAATCAAAATAATAATAATAATATGAACTCAAATAATAATCCTTCTGGTGCTCTCACCACTAACAATAATACTACTCTTCCTCATAGTAGTAGCACACATGATCAACAAATTATGCCATCGGGAACAATGATGATGATGATGGGTAATTTACAATGTAGTGGTCTATCGGAACATTCAACATCAAATAATAATCCTGTCCAAAATGAATTACAGCATCAAATGTACATGCAACAACAACAACATCACCACCAATCTGATCAATATAATTCCACTTTAGGAATATCTAAAGAGGCAGCGTATCAACAACGTCAAGCTATTTTAGGTTCACAATTACACTTACAACAACAACCATCGTCATATATAACAAATCAGCCATCGTTATCACATCATCAATCACATCATTCTTTATTACTTCCGTCTGTTGGTGGTGGTACTGGTAATTCGAATTATCATGTACTTTCTGGACAAAACAGTACTAATAATAGTAGTATGCTTTCACCGACGATGTTTCATAGTGGTACTTTACCAGGTGGTGGACCACGTTATTTACGACAACAATCATGTAATTCACATTATTTTGGTAGTCAACAACCATTAGATAGAAATATGGTTAGTCCATCAAATGCAATGGAAATGACTGAGTTATATCATCAACAATATCAGAATGGTTATGCTTATCAACAACCACAACTACCGCCGATTCCAGTAAGCGTCTTTTTCTTCAATTTTTATGTTATTCGCGCTAGAAATGAGTTTTTTCTTTGGTAAGCATTTTTCTATTGCTTGGTATAGACGGGAAGCAGTCTTGTGACCGACTTAAGCAACAATTCAATGATGCTTGGGATATTATTTTTCTACCTTGAAATACAAAATATCACTTGAGAATCGGCCCGCGTCAGCACCTGACTTGATGATAGGAAGTGAAAGAATTGAGTTTGTCGATCGCTTCATATATCTGTAAAGTTTCATCGGCTCTGATGATTTGGTGTCTGACGAAGTGTTGACCTATGGATTGATTGAGAAAACTCACTTGGTATATATATATATATATATATATATATATATATATATATTGCAACTCACGCATATTGCGTTGGAGATATTTATTCATCAGTCATATTGGAGCTAGTTGCACATTACTGCAAGTTGACTGGAGACAGAATTGGCAGCCGTTGGATATTGCCTCATTAGTCTCAGAGTTTAGTGCTATGTGTAAGTCCTAATGATTGTCAATTTTGATGCGTGAAAGAATCATGGAGTTCTACACTAGAGCGAATCACCTTTCCGATGTATCCCAATTTCTATTAGTTGACTTACTAAAATAAGCTTATAGTGTAAAACTGTAATATTTTATTTTCGTTCTGAAACACTTCAGTAAGTTCATTTCATCACACACAGCACAAAGTAGAATATACCAGTACATCTACAAATTCCACAGAAAACCCAATACTAGCAAACTATTGACTAGAATTCTAATCATCGTCTTGTACAATGTATGTGCTGTGTGCCCCAAACACTATCTGTACATGTTCATGTGTGTATATCTTATCAAGATGGATATTTTGATTATAGTCTAAGAAATGTAACATTTAATAGCCTTAACTATTATTGATCATGATTAAACAAGAAGTTGGTCTATAGAATTGACAACAGTAGTTATTGATTTATATATGTATATAAAAGAAATGTTTATTTAAAAGAAAATATAATTAATACCTACATAAACTACTTTTTCAGTTATATAATCATTCCGTCAATTATTAACCAATCCCACAAGCACACAATGTTTATGGAGTCGGTCCCACCCCTTTTTCAGCCTGGTTTCTTAAAATAAACACATGAAATCGAATGTGTATATTTATGTGTTTGTCTGTAGTAGAAGAAGATGAAATCATTAGGAGTGGGGTGACGGGAGGGGGATATTTCGAATTCCGTTATTTTGACGTAGAGATTGTTTATATACAACTCACTGTTCGTTTTTTTATGCGCTGTGGCTGTAGTTATGGATCTGTATATGTATGTATGTGAGTGTTAGTTCATGTCCTCATTCAAAAGAGTATATATATATATATATATATATATATATGCACTGACGCCTTATCTGTATATCTTCACGTTATTTTATGGCACCTATAGAGAGTTTGTTTATGTAATAAGGAATTTGATAAAAAATTGCCATTTCTCCTAATTACTGTCTTGAATTGGATATTTTCTTATCGGGTTTTCTTTTGTATGTCTCGTACCGTTGTATGAACGTATATCATTGGGTTTAGTTTTTTTTTCATTGCGCTCTCATTTCTTTCTATATAAACAATGAATATCTGTAATATTTGAATAATTGTTACAAATAAATGTATGTATGTATTTTTATAAATTTTAATAAGTCATATTTTCTTTTCGAATTGTATCATAGATGCCTAATCTAACCACTATCTGTAACCCGGAAGAAATGGATTACCATTTCATTCCATTATAGGACTACTTAGCAGTGCCCATTCCACGACCCCACACACAGGATTCGAACCTGCAAACTCTTCACCTCTAAACCACTGAGCTCTCATCCAACAGTGCTTAATGTCTAACTTCAATCAATCCACTATGTTGCTTGACCATGTTCTATTGTTTTCGGTGAGTAACTCTAGACACGGTTGAAGTTCACTAATGATGGTTCCCCGTTTTCGGTGACGTGGATATGCACTTCTGAAGAGTCCTATACCAAAACAAAACTGCCGTTCAGTGCTTTCAGGTTTTTATTGGTAGTCTACCATCAATCGGTTAATGATTTAAATGATATTCAATAATTTCCACAACCCTATACTTTTCTATTACCACTGATACTGTTATTACCCCTACTACTGTGATATTTGGCCTAACAATTTCATCACTCTGTGCTAATGGGGCATAACAACTTGAACCGATGTACATATGTACCAGACCTACTTTGCGAATAACTAACCGACCAATGTATGTATGTATGTTCCGCTTTTTCAGATAAAGACTGTTTTTTATCAAATAATAATTTTCAATACATGTGGAGAAACATACAAATTGTTCCAAACATCACAGCCACTACTTATTCCTAATTAAGGTTTTTACATTTTGTTGGACTAATTAAACGGTGTATGTATGTAATGTATATATCGTTTTCTTTTTCATCAACTATCCAAATGACCAAAAGCTATTCCCTGATTGGTTGGAAATGCATTATGACTGTTTTATGCTTGTCCCTGTACTATACTTCTTTCTAAATTCAACCATAGCGTACTATAATTAAGAAAATGGAGTATGTGACAAAATAGCCCATTTAGAGTATTAGATTATTATACCAATAACCTGATTAAGTTACAATAATTTAAGAACAGAATAAGATATGGTGACAGTTTATAGACCAGACGGACGCTTAAGATTTGAAGAAAGGAATTGCATAGCTTCACTTAGCTAGACCGACCATTTGAAACTTGAAAGTACTAGACCGTCAATTCGTCCTAGTATGAAACTCTTCAATTACAGTGCACACCCACAACCATGCACACGGTATTCAAACCCACAATCTTCGGTTTCACGCTCGAAAGCTTACTGTCCAGACTATTGAGCTAGCATCCGATGGTGTTAGTGTCAAAATTCAATCAGCTTTTTTCAACAGATTGTTACATTAAATATTATGCCTATTATTATATATACAATTTTGACGTCCTATTGTGGCTATTTTGTTTCTATGTAGCATCCACAATCATCGTCGGGTCTACCACCCCCGTATCCAGCACCACTGAGTAACAATGGGACTATAAATCGTCAAATGGTGTTAAATCAACAGCAAAATTTTTATCCTGCTTCAGTGACACCTGGCGGTGGGGCTTCGTTAAAACGTGAACCTCCAACTGGTGGCGGTGGGGTCAATGCTGGTGCACTACAGGATGGATCTGGTTATGGTATGTTTTTTCTTCAGTGAATGAATAAATAGTTTTGTTGAGTTTTTAAAAATCTCTTTGTTTTTTGCACCACTGTCACGTCAGTCAGTCGTACTCAACGTTAAAGACTGGCAGCAATCTGTGTTGATCCAACATACCACAACGATATGATATATATTTACTGTTATGCTTAGCTTTATTTGTGAATCTCGTTTTGTCTTTCTACTTACTTTCCTTTTATCAATCATAATGATTATCGAAGAATTGATTACAAGTAACTGGGAAAAAATGAAAGCTTTAAAGGTATCTAGGCTCTCTATTAATTCAAGATGAAGGTGTTCAGCATTTCCAGCTGATTTCAGTTTCACAACACTGTCACTGTTTGATGACGATGTGATGATATCGTTACTGGGACTTCCTATGTTTATACTTAATATCATGACTTAAGTATCGCTGTTAGTCATCACATGAAATATTGCCCAATCAGGATTCCGACTGTCAATTAGTTCATCTATATGACCAACAGGACTAGTAAAATTCAAGCTCACGAATTGACACACCGATTTATGAACAACATCCAAGACCTTATCACTTATTGATCCTCGCGCTCCTTCCAACCCCCAGTATTAGCAAATCAGCAGAGGTGGATACGAAGCAGATCAGTTTTTTGTCATAATCAGCTCAGTTATAACTCAAAATTTATACAATGACATACTTTAGATACATAACCCCGCAACACACCAACCAAAAAATCATACTTTAGACACAAATGTGCTATAAGTTGCAGAGAGCGAAGCAAACAGTACATAATTAATTAGCAAGAAGCTGAAGTATAATCAAATGTATAACAATGGTTGATAGGTCCATTGGAAGCTTATAATACAGGAAATATAAAAACTCAGTTAAAGTGTTTATCTTATTGTTAATTGTCAGCTAGTTAAGTACGTATTTGTATGATAATAATTACTCATAAATTATGAAAATATCATTCTCTTTAGACTGTATCTAACTTTCCTTTGTCTAAAAAAGAAAAACCAAAAAAAATGTGTTTTTTTCTTCGTTAGTATCCATGATAACATCTTCACTTTCTTTTTGTCCATATATATATAACATGCACAACGTTCTTAAAATCCAAGCACCTATCTGAAAAGATACAAATACATACATATGTGAATGTATATTTCTGCTTGGATGTTGTAATAACATACAGTAGACAGTAATATTTTATAAAACTATCTTTTAGATAAATATCATTTTGGATTATCTATACAAATTAAGGTTCTATTATGGTTAAAGGGTTCGTCACGAGATTTTAAGGCCTTACTTTGAAACTTGACGAAGTGATAAGGGTGTATGCATTGGATTATCTATAAAAACACAGTTTATTAAGATTGGTGATCGTTTCATTGGTTGGTGTATTTCTCTTTTTTCTTCTGTTTTTTAAGTGTTATTACATAACTTGTCATTTTACATCTTTCTTTTTCTATTAGCTACTTGTATCGGATTTTTAATCATGTATTTGTTTATTCAAATGGATGTGTTTGTAGAGATTGATCGAATTTGTTGGATTTACTTTTCACAAACTGATTTCAGTTGAGGTGCTCTGTAGTTTTTAATGATAGCGTAACTAACATCTATATGTGACAAATACAACTTAAAAATTAAATAAATCTTCATAAAGAAAAACCTTCAAATAGACTAATGTTCTTGAAATCTTAGCGAATAGTAGTCTTGGATGTTGGAACTTAGATGCATTCGCAGTGAGACATTTGTCATCAGTGGTATATTACATATTTACTAAAGTATGAATTTTACCATTGAATCTGTTGACTCAGTGGTTCTACAATGGTTAAAGGGTTCGTCACAAGACCTGACGGTGCTACTTTGATACTTGAACAAGTTACAGGAGTGTAGGCATTGTGCTTCTCAGGGGTTTCTATTCTAGGAAGAAATAACTGTCTGTTCAGTTCACTTGTATTGATTGTCTAAGCCTTCCCATTGTTGTTTGGGCCTCAAATTGGTCAGTCTCTTTTGGTATATGTGTATCTGAAAATGATTGCTTCAATAAAGTCATTAAGTCACAAACATTATAAGCAGAGATGGATGATGGACCCATAAAGCTTATTTCGTCCTATTTAAGACCTGTCAGATGGATTTGTCTGCATCCAAGATTTTATGTTTACTCCGGTTAACCCAATAGCGTTTGAAGCGTACGGTACTAGTTTCGAGTCCCTGGTTTGACATCAACTCTGGGATGCAGGTACATTCAGCTAACGAGTTTCAAATAGGAAGAATTGCGCATCCTGAATCCCACTGTACACCTCTGTTTATAACTGTCTGTTCATTTTGTTTTTTTCCATTCATATATGTTTATTTTCTGTATAAATAATCACCTTTACAATAAATTATAGGAACATTAGTCCAACGTGGTGGTGGTCCATTAACTGCTTCCATGATGACTGACCCATCAATGGGTAGCGGCGTTAATGGTGTCCCAATGAATGCTGTTTATTATCGTGGCAGTCAACAGGCATTACATATGTATCCTAACGGAATGAGTACTCCTCAATCTCAACATCAACAACAACACCATCAGGGTAGTGTATATCAATCAAATCAACAACAGGCATTCTATATGCAACAACAAATGCAACATGCTCAAATGTATCCAGGTTATTTTAGTCCGCAGCCTCAGTCACATTTCGATTCTATGGGACATATGTAAGTTGCATTCACTGTTGTTCTCATCATCTTTGTTATCGTCAATTTCATCTCATCATTCAAATTTGGATTGATAAGTAAATAAATAAATACAAGCGTTTATCTCTTATCAGGCGATTCACCTAGACTTCGGAGTATGTAGATGATATAGTTTTTTGCTTGGTGTAGACAGATGTTGACAAAATCCATTCTTGTGACCGCCTAGGATTGATTAAGAAAACTCACTTGGTATTTGCCTAGTTGAGTCACCTATGACATAGACGAGAAATGTGTTTAGTAACGAGAGGACGAGGTTACTGGACATCAGTTTGTTCCGTTCTACTCTGTTCATATCAAGCATGACAATGAAAAATAGAGGGTGTTCATAAGCTATAATAGTATTCGAAGTATCGCTTGTGTGTGTGTGTATGTTTGGGATGATGTAGTGCGCAATGTGGAGGTTAGGCCCAGAGTAGTAGATAAATGTGACAAATCGATCGATGATGTATTGGTTGTTGGTTAAATGAGATCGTTGGAACATGTGTTTGGTATGCCGATCGAGCGTAAACCTTGACGGAGGATGTTGTCTGATTTAGGAGTTAGTTGTAAGAAAAGTGGATAGGGTCCAATGAAGACATGATGTCAGTGTTTGAGGTTGATGAGAATCGGCCTGATGGATGTGAGCAGTTGCAGTTGTGTATGTGTAGGTGTAGAGTGCGTACACGATTGTTCTGTTGAGTGTTGGTCGTTATGATAATCGGAATGAATTGTTATATATTTTGTGTGACATGTCTGAGAATCGTTTTGTAATGATGGAGTTGTATTCACTCTTTGTTCTCCTCTATAATCTGTATCTGGAAATCTCCATGTAACGGTATTTCGCTTGTTTTTTTTTACCTGATTATTTCTGTTGTTACCACCCCTACTACTCTGAGACTCAGAAATAAATTCTACGATTTGTGTCTTTTTTACTATCCAGTTAATATGACTACTTTACCTTACTTTTTTCTTCCTTTTACTTAGGCATCATAATTTCAATCATACTGACGGCGAGTCGGTCTATTCATATTTTAGCCAACAGGATATGAATCAACCTGGTCCACATCAACATTTAAACCCATTACCTGAAGAAAATCAAGTGGGTTTTTTATGATTATTATTCATTTGAATTTCTTCATGACGTGTTCAGTATGATTTCACCAAATTTCAGTCTTGTAGAACTAAATGTATCTGTGTTTTGATGTGTGTTTTAGTTATTTCCATCATATAACTATATTTTATTATGATTCTGTGTTGTACAGCTGATTGACAAGTAACTGTAAATAAATCAGTATTATAAGAATATTCTTCCCGTTTCCATGGAAGGATAACGCTGTAAGAACTAGAAAACATTAAACAGCACACATCTATAACCACCCTCCCTATTGAACAGAACTCAAAAACTTACGTATATTGTGTTATCCAGTAACCAATCATTAAGTGATTCACAATATTCATGTACATAACCCTCATCCAGTGTAATTAATGAGTAGTTGGTCTCACTGTTGACACATAATTTACTTTCGATTCTTGTAAAGTTCAAATCATGATAAAAAGTATTTCTTCCTAAAGCAAGCTGTTCTTCGCGAACTATTGAAAATTTCTATTCGTATGATTAGGCTTAACAAATGTAATTTCAAAAGGAAGAATGTTTTATGTGAATATAAAACATAAATATTTTAGGAAGAAGTGTAAATACGTCTACGCCATTGTTCACTGACACTTAATCATCATATCATACAGCGTTTTCAAACGTTGGTCTCAATAATACCTCTGATTCTTACCATATAGTTTGTATTATCTAAATACCAATAGTTAACGACTTTTAATGAACGAATATCACGTTTTTTTTATGGTTACGTTTGACTACTTTTTGACGTATTCCTACTTCAGCTTCCATCGAATGAGGCGAAACCTAGTCATGCGCACTACATATTCCAATTATCTCAATCAATATAGATTCTCTACTTCGTCAAATGATTTCCCATTTTTGTTTGTTACCTTACAAGTAATACTTTGAAGCATTTTATGTAACATTGTTTTCATTTTTAAAGGTATCACGTTTCAAAGTCATATAATAAAACAGATCGAACTATTGCACAATACACTTACCATATAATTTGCAGAGACGGAATATCTCTCAGCATAATGTTTTATTAAAGATGGTTAAAAGCATCATTTAAAATGTGAATACTTATAAGATTCCTATTTCGTCATGTCATTCATTAGCTGTTAGTTTGAAATAATTAATAAGAACGGAAGATAGGAAAAAATAATCATTTCAGTTTGCAATTGACTAGTCATTGATCAATTATTCATGAAATTCTAAGTCCTATAGAAAGTCACTTGTGACAGAACACGGTCCAGTAAAAACATTTTTGACTTCGGAACTGAATGACGTACATATTCGAATCTCACAGTGACTATCTGTTACCCGAAGATGACAGGTTATAGTTTATTCCTACCCAGTAGCAAGTAACACGAATTCCCCATTGTAGCGGAATTCCCTCCCGATCACCCATCATCGACCACACAACTTTATTTACTCATTTTCACTGTGTCCTATTTAAACTAATCTAATTATTTCTCTTTTTCTAAAAAAAAAAGCTAAATCAATGTGAAAATGGTCCCGGTTACGTGGACTCTAGTATTCAAACAGCTGATATGAATGACGGTGGTGACGGCACAACAGCAACGGCGGCAGTAGGTACGACTACAGATCCCGGTGGCGGCGGTAGTCCAGTTGCCGGTGGTGGTAGTCATCGCCATCATCGTCGAAGGAGGCGTAAACAGTCACAACAACAACAATCTCAGTCATTATCACAACAACCTGCAGATATGTCGGATACATCAAGAAATGTTGGTGTCGATGATCCTGCTACCGGTGGTGGCGGTGGGATGATGATGATGGACCGTTTACAAAATCAAGCACAATCAGTTCGTGGTTCACAAATGGTAAAGAAAAAGTCATTAAACTGTTTTTCTATCTTCCTCTTTCATGACGACTACTTTTTTCTTGCTTAAAACTTGTGAAGAGTTTATATTAAATATGTCTGACAGGTGGTGATAATGACGATGATCTGTTGTACTCAATAATCATCCAGCCTTTCGAAAGTATGATTATTACGTATATTTGAAAGAGAGAGAGAGGGCAAGATCTGTCACAAGCTTTTATTAAGGTTATATATATATATATATATCTCGTCATTGTTCTAGACTTGTCAGCTGAATATAAACCTTACCTCATCGACATTCGAACCCAGCACCTTTTACTGTAAATATCATTACGTTATCTAATAAGTTACAGAGTTCAGATAACTAATCAGCCTGTGTATTGAGTATAAATAAAATTTGTATTTTCCTGTTTTCAATTTTTAGATTGATCAGTCTCTAGTGATTTATATTTATCCTGTACTAATATTACTTCAATAACTACTGCTAATGACAGAATTTTTAATATATTTGGTGTGTGGGGCTAGCTTTGGAATCAAGAATTACGGGCTCTTCTCACTTTCAACTCATCAATTGAATATATCTGTCAGATTCTCTAATTAATTGAATAGACTTGTTTGACATATATTAGCGTAATGTTTCAGTTTACTAACCACATGAAAATTTCAACATTATATCAATTGGAAATGTAATTGTGAACCTTCTTCCTCTTTTTTTCTACATTATCTGTATAGGATTTAGGTGTAATACAGAAACGACAACATACTCTATCTCCTGGACCGTATCCTGATACAGATCCAATGATGATGAATGGTCAATCTAATATGCCACCTGGTCATCATTCTTATCCACATCCAAATGGATCGATGGAACCATCATCTATGTCAAGATATATTCGTTATGGTAAGTTAAACGATTGTTATGGTATTCTTTAAGTGTGAATAGTTGTTTTCTCCCTCTTTAAAAAAGATTGATTCTTTAGTTTTAATGACCAGTCACGTTTAGAGTTGTTAAAAACTGATTACGAATAGTCAATGTCGATCAATAGAGTACTTGTAGATGGCTATCGTTTGCTAACTCATACTATTAACAGAAGCTATTGAGAAATGAATCATTATTTAAAAAAACAGCATTCTGGACTGTTGTTCTGTCGTAGTGTATGACTGTTCAACAGTACACAACTAGGGAATCGGATCGATGTATGGTAGTGAAAGTAAAATAAGATTGGTCGTTAATCGTGTACAAACAGTCACAGCCTATGGACTATTAAGTATGTGATTTTCCTTCTTGCCATTGATTTCTACTCTGGACTCACTGCGTGTTACTGCTTGTAATTATATTTAATAAAGTATTCTCTAGTTTTAATCTGGTTCTCTATCTTTGGGTCGAAAATTCTGTTTCTGATATAACACGACTAGTTTTAACGTATTATCGTAATATGTGTGAGAGAGGGAAAATATTGTAAACCATGCGTTATATCACGGATCCTTCTAAATCAGTCGTGCGATCTTTTCAGAGTTCAAATGGGCTTTTTTTGGCTCTTACGTCTTATTAATCGACATTACAAAAGTTTTGTTTCTACAGTTACCATTGGTTTGCATTCGGTTACTACTACCACCATAGTTTTTCGCTCCAGTTTATTTCGGTTAGCGCGCTATTACCAGAACTCTAGCTATTTGCAGCATTTATGACTTATTATAGCTTCCGTCTTATGTACATATATGTATGTATATGAATTTAATCTGTCTTCTCTGTTTTTTAGATTCACCGCAACGTGCTCCATCCGTACTAGGTCAATTACCACCCCCTAATCAACCTCCGCCGCCACCACCTCCCCCGGCTGTAGCAGCTATAGCATTCGCTGCCCAGATGAATAGCTCAGATCATAGTCGACACAACTCAATGACTTATCAACAACATCATCATTTTAATCCAGATTCTCTTTCGCGTCATATGGGCGGTGGCAATGGAGTTGGTGCTGCTACCGGTGGCAGTTCCGGAGTTTATCATCCATCTGGTTCTGGTACTACCGGTCTACTAGTTGGTCCACCACCTCGTATACGTGACTATTCAGAATATGGTATTCCACGGGGTATTGGTCTACCGCCGACACCAGCTGCTTCGGGAGGTGGTGGACAACCGCAACCACCACAGCACAATGTCCTAATGTCACCCGGTGGCATTAATAATAATACTAATCATGGAAGCGTGTATTATGACGGTCATTATCGTGAAGGTCAAGCATAAATTCATTTCTTTTGTAGACCTATTATTGATGATTCTGCTTGTTCATTAGTTTTCCTGTGGAAAATAACAGCTTCTGTATTATAATACACAATCATAATTCATTGATCTACATCATATTGCTTTTCCAATCATTGATTAGTATGATTATCATTCGAATTTTATTCTGCATCATAATGTATTGTCATTTATCTTCACTGTTGTTTTTCTAATCGAGTTAATGACGTTGATTCGTTTAACCAGCATTTCTTTTTGTTTATTTACTTTTTTCTCTCTCCTCCCGCTTGATACGCTTTTGTAATGTGTTTATCCTTTAAACAATTTAATCTCTGTCCATATCATGATCAATCAGTTATACGGTATACATACACACATATATTTGTAATTGTCACCATACATGTGTGTATTTTATATGTGAATAAGTTATGTAAGAAAGTCCACACTTATTACTATGTGTTTCGTCTTAATCTTTCTCAATTATTGTGGAATAATGTTTCTCTTTACATATACACATGGCTAGCTTATCGGCTTATTCTCTCTCTTTCTTGCCTTTGATCATCTCATGTGTGTGTTTTAACTACGAAAAACACAAATCAATCGCATATTACAATGATTTTATCATTATGTTATGTTTCTATTCATAATCTCATTTATATTCAGCGGGTCCATCAATTTGTTTGTTTCATTATTGAGTAGTTACCCACTTTTTCTGAATACCCTTTTTGAAATCTATGTGATTATTTTCCCCCTAATTATTCGAGTTTAATTTATGCGCCTTTTCTTTTTCTATATTCAAAAGGAATTTCATCCATACACAAACACTCTGATTAGGATGTATGAGTAGTATAACAATATTGCTACTACTAGTAGTAGTAGTAGTATTAATCGAAATCAACATCTTATTTGCATCGTATTGTACAGGTATTATTTATTTCTTTTCCAACTATATCACCTTTTCAAGCTTATTTCATACGTTTTTATTATATAATTAGCATGTTCTGTGTGTATTCTACCATGTCTCCTACTCTAAACCTTTTCACATCTCTACATACCACTACCTATTATTACTACTACTATGTACTACTAATAGTAGTATTAAAAATTACCATAACATTTTAATTATTGTAGACCAATTATGCATGTATATTATTGATTCATTGTGTTGTTTTTTTCTGTCCCATATATATGTACTTCAATCATATGTATTGTGTTTTCTTTTTTGCCGGTTATCATAGACTATTTTATCTTATACCCCCTCTCTCCCTCTGTTACCAAGTAAACATTTACTGTCCACACACGACATGGCTACTTACTAATCATCAGTTCATTAATTATTATTATTCTATTATGTAATTACTATTGTTTTGTAGATATGTACAGTAATAGTATGTATATATATATATATATGTGTGTGTATGTGTGCTTGCCTATATATATATTTATGTATGTGTTTCACTACTCTATGTGTATGATAATAAGACCTATATTTGCTTACTAATATTGATATACCATACTCTATGACTTATTCTTCATGAATGAATTGCCTTAATTGTCCTTTTTTTCATAGACAAAATTATTTTACTTACCAGTATCTAGGTTCCTTTTTTTATTATATAATCACTCCTTTAAAGAAGTCATTGCATACACAAACATACATCAAGTCAAATATTTTGATCAAATCTGTTTGTTGCCTTTCTTATATTCCTGCTTTTTGTTTTTGATCATTATTTCATATAGAAAGAAAAAGAACACCAAAACACTATCATCCCGGTTTTATTAACCCTTATTGACTTTGTTTATATTTACGTAAGTGTATGTATGCGTGCGCGCATGTATTCTTATTTCATTCATTGCTTTTTACATAATACATTAGTAAGTAAGTAGTTGGGTAAACCATTTTGCATTAACCTTATAGTTTACTCTCCACATGACAATGTTGTTATAATGATGAGAAGAGAAAAGAAAATTCACAACCACCCCCCCCCCGTTTTTTTAGAGAATTTTTTTTCCTTTTCTCTTTCAGTTGTTTTAAATACCATTCATGCTTTGCGCATAGTTTGAATAGTTGTCTTCTCTTGTTGGTTCCGTTTTTTTTTCTTCTGTCCACAAGTCATTAACGAATTAGTTATAAAGGTTTTTTGTTTATATATACATATTTATTGAAATGTAATTATTGTATGCATTCACCCTTTCATACTCTTTGGATCCATTCTGCTGTATGTCAGTTATTTTAATGGTGAAAAAAAAACATATTCTTAAGTCATGTATCCATATACTTGTATTGTCGTACGTTCCACGTCTACTACTACTACTTACAATAATATTGATAATCATGATTGTGTATTAAGTGTGTGCAGATTGAAAGTGAGAAAATTGCTTTCCGAAGTGATATTATACATCTTTATTGTTACGAAAGGACTATTTTGCAATTTTTTTTATGCCGTCCACTTTTCTGTTTAGTTTAAATGATAGTTTTTAATCAATCAATATGATGTCATTTGTTTAAGATGAATATTTGTTTTTAGTATTTATTTGTGTAAACATATAAATATTGGTATAACGAGGCACCAAGTATATATGCACCACACAAAGCATACGATTTATGTGGGGAATGGAATACTGCCTGGGTGCCCAAACCGAAACAGGGTGGTTTTTTTAGGGGGCCACTTCACGAGCCTTTGACCTAAAGGTATAATCCACATAACAGTAGAACAACGTTAGGTGATGCAGCCTCATGGTTGTTCGTAACCAACGATGGATTCATACGCCATTTATCCCCTTAGGATTCTGGAGCCAATGTACAGTATTGGTTTAGAATCAGGTCCTTCCAATTCCCGTCCATATCCACCAACCTGATTTGTGTGTAGAACATTCACTTTTCGTTTTCTCAATTTAGTAAGTATAATATCAGTACTGGTGCAAAGGATGTTGATATTCGCATGTATATATATATATATATATATATATATATATATATATATATATATATATACCTTAAGCTCATTTAAATTACTTCCAGTTATATTCATGTTTTAACGACTAAAGGGTAGTGGGTATTTTAAGAGTTCAGATTATTCCGTTGCCGATATTTTGACTGAAATGTGATCAATCTTGATTGACCTGCGGACATCTTGTGTCGAATGCCTCAATATTGCCGTTCTGTTACAATTTTATATAGAATATCGCTAGTGTGATCTAGGACATACCTTTCATCAGCTAGATGCACAACTGTTTCCCAATGATATTAATGTTCATTCACACTGGGACTCAAATCCAGTGCCTTTAAACTGATCATCTCATGCTTTTGAATCCACCACTAACGTCTTTATAATTATTATTATCGCTTCACACCCTCTATGTAGTTAAAATGTACTGTCTTTCATCGTTATTCTGGTATAGTTTAGTGACTTAGGTTGACATATTTTATGCTGAGCTTTACTTTATTCACGACTGGTGACTGCCACTGATGGAGTTCGGATCTCCTAATAGTTAGAATCGTTATATTTGAAGACGCTAAATTCAACAATCGAAATTCTGACTTATTTTCCTAACCTGCGTCTGCTATTTCGCCTATAGCCTAGCGTCCTAAACCTTGAGCATGAATGCGTCCTGACTGTCATAAGCTATCTTGAGCTAACGCAAGCTTTACTCATACCTTCAAGCATTTTTCTATCTTCAGTCCAAAAAGTCATCAGCCGACCTGTTATTGTATTTCAATCACCCAACACACACAAAAGTCACCTTAAACACTCATTAGTTTATTTACACGGACTGAAAGGTTAACACAATCATTCCATAAGTCACAGAGAGCAAAGCAAACAGTACATAATTAATTAGCAATATTTAAGTATTAGTAAAATGCATAACGATAGTTAATAGATCCACTGGGAGTTTACGATAGGCTAAATATAGTAATACAATTCTATAGTTATCTGTTTATTATACAAAAAGAATTTAAATTCCCTAGGTCGTGATCTAGTTCTGCCGAGACCTTGGTAATATGGTCATTAGTCTAGGTGACACTATATTGCTTGTACTGTGTGTGAAATGTTAAACCGATAGGGAAAACCCTGTTTCGACCTAGATTTTATGCTAGTTGGTACTCGTCAGTATGGTGTGCCTGTTTGTTGTATTTGAACAGACAAAGTTCGATAGTTTTTTCTAATATCATGATTGCTTTCTATCGACATGTTTTTGTTTAAAATCATAATCCAACTAGAAATAGTTTAAATAATAAGTGATTAATTACGACGTTTCGTGCTCATTGATTTATCTGATACTTAATCGCTTGACATTGACTTTTTAATCACAATATCTAGTCCCCCTGAGTCCAACGCTGAACAGAAGAGGAAAGGTGGAGGTTTTGAGTGTAAGCTTTAATTTGAATGTTAATTTAGGTATAGAAAACAAAAGTATCGATTTATACGCTACAGATGTTTTAGAAACTTCTTGTAAACATCAACTCTGAGATGCAGGTACATCCAGCGGACGAGTCCCAAATAGGACGAAACGCGCGTCCTGGATTACACTGCTAGCCACTATCCATCTCTGCTTACCATACTAAAAATAGTTTCGATCGTCGATTAATACAATTAGCACATACCAAATGGTTCGTCGTTTTTCTAGGACTCTTGGAAGCTTCTATTGTACTCTGATTGGACGAAGTTTTTTTGAGCTTTTAAAGGACTTATAATATATTAAAAAACTTTTGCCGAGGCTATAGTTTATGGACGAACCAATGAGGTACTAGATAACAGGTCTTAGAAATTCACTTGTCCAATTGGCTAAATAGCGTGATGAAAACCCTAAATCTAATTCCTAGCCTTAACCATCAACTTTAAGTCATAATCCTAATTCCTCACACTCTTTTGTAACCAACCTGCTTCAGTTTGGGCACCTGGGTATTACAGCCCCGACACAAATCAAATGAGATTTGTGCTGCGCATATATATCTGATGCCCCTTTGTATCAATATTTATGTGTTTAAATAAATAAACTTTTATAACCCTGATTTAGTCCTAGTTATTGGGTGGGTACTCAAGTTCGCTCTGGCGTCGCTAAGAGGTCGTCCATAATTTATAGCCCCACCAATTTTTTTGTAAAATGACAGTTTGACTCATTATATACATTGAAAAGATGACTCAATGATCTGGGCAGAATATAATTTTTTACCAATTATATTACAATTGCTGGTCTTACTGTAGTTATTGCATAATTAATGTAATTTTTAGTTCACTGAACAAGAAACTTTTATCTTGATTACGTTGTATTACACATTCTGGAATTCTAACTTAACATTTATGTTAATAAACAATTAATTGAAGTGAGATATAGTTGCGTAGAGCTAAGTGATCGGAACGTATAATTTTATTATATTTTGTACTTTATTTAAACACATAAATATTGATACAAGGGAGCACCAGAGATAATTTGATTTGTGTGAGGGCTGGGATACTGCCCAGGTGCCGAAATTGAAGCAAATGGTTTTCTTACGGGGTCACACCCGGAACCTTTGACCTAAATGTTTGATCCACAAGGCAGTGAAACATCGTGAGGAGATACAGTCGCATGGTAGTCGGTGACCAACAATTAATTCATGAGCTATTTGTTCCCTCAGGATCCTGGAGCCCATGTGCACCGTTGGTGTGGAATCAGGGTTTTCCAACTCTCCTAGGTGGACTTTCCATGTCCACCAACCCGATTAAAGCGCCGGTCATTCTTTTTTCGTCCTCTCATTTTCGTAAACAACAATAATGTCACGAGAAAGCAATGAGTAGGACTTCCCTGACACAGGCTATATATGCGTGGCCATGTGAGAGCATTTGGAGAGAGAGAGCGGATCCTCCCCACTCTCGGCCGTACCGGGGCATTCGGGGGAGATCTATACGTATTGTACACAAATCAGCTGTTTCAATAAATATTAAAATTAAAACTTTCAGCTGTGATAGTTTCAAAACTTCGAATTCTAATGTCTGCTAGTCCACACAAATCCTATCTCCAATATATCCAATCAGAAAAAAAAAGATGACAAGCATATTCACCATTTAATTTTGTACTGTTCCATTACTTAACAACTCATAGCATCACAAACGTCAGTTACTTGACGACAAATAGAAAATTACTATATGTACAACTACCAAGTCATTTGTGATACAAAATCGAGTAACAGGTTTATAGTTAATTAACTAACGATAATTTAGGGACGGTTTCATCTGTTTCAAACGTTCCCCCACCCCTGACTTAGGATCAATGAATCAGTTACTTGTACAATGAAAATCTTTCACATCATAAATTACTTTCAGTACCCTATTCACTTTATTACCTTTAAGTAATGATATCATTTATTATACCAATTGAAATGGTAGTATTCACCATTGACTTTCTATCATCTATTCCATTATGTTATCTAACTAAAAGTAGGCCATCAACGGAAAGATTTATGAATAATTATTTAATCAATTAGTATTATTATTCACGTATTAAATAATTCAATCATAAGAAAATAATTAATTATTTGTCTAAATGATTGACTACAGGATAAGACATGTTGGCGACTAATATTGTTTATAATTAGAGAGGGGTTTTATGAATATTATGGTAATTCAATAGTTGAATTGATGAGTCAATTAAAGCTAGACCATCATGGAATGCCTAGAAGCATTGAATGACCATATCGTTCTAGCATGGGACTCCTCAGAAAAGTTCATCCACGACCCCGTACACGGGATTCGAACCTGTGACCTTCGTCTTCACTCAAACGCTTATGACCTCTAAACCATTGAGCCAGCATTTAACAGTGTTGATGTCTAACTCCAACCAATCCACGAAATTACATCATCGTCCACCATTGTCTTCAGTGAGTTACTATATTTACAACAGACCTGGTTGAACTTAACTGGTCACGTCTTCTTGGAAACACTCACTAGTGAGCATATGATGATTATAATCAGAGAGGGGTTTTGTGAATATCATAATAATTCAATAGTTGAATTCATCAGTCAATTAAAGCTAGACCACCATGGGAAACCTAGAAGTACTGGACCACCGTTTCATCCTACTATGGAACTCTAAACCTGAACTTGTTAGAATGAAATTGAACATTAATATTAAATTGTATGAGTTGATGATTAGATCGATTTTTAGGACTCCTAATTATTGTACATAATGGTAATTAGATGTTCTACATTACGCATATGTACACATACGTACGTACAGCGAAAAAAACTATGTACGCAAATAAAACCCTCATATTTATTTACATCCACTGGTTCAATGAACCTTTCCCTTCATTATGATTCAATGAAACATAAATGTAACTAGTAGTGATTTATTTGTTGCTAGGTGTTCAATTCTTTATTTCACTTTTGTAAAGATGATAATTCCAGTTCATATCAATTAGTAAGTGATAATAATAATAATAATAATTGTTTTCCAATGGACATTTCTAACCTTCATAGTGATTCATTCATTTGAATAATTGATTGTTTATAGTTTCTCTTTCTCACTCCTCCTCCATCCTAATTCATTTTATGATGTTGACGACATAAGTGAAATGCTGAAATCGAAAAATCAAAATCAACTGTTACATGAAACATGTCAGATACACTGGAGTCATTGATATTATTTCTAAAACTTTTTAATTCCTTTTTTCAGTAAAAGGGTTTTGTGGAGATTGTAGCAATTAATCGTTGAATTCATGAGTCAATTAAATCAAGACCAATATGAAAAATCGAGAAGTATTGGACGACCGTTTCGTCCTAGTACGGGACTCCTCAGAAGTGTGTGTCCACGATCCCTCACACGAGATTCGAACCCGTGAACTTCAGTTTCGTGCGAACATTTCATATCTAGACCATTGAGCCGGCATCCAATGGTGTTAATGTCTAACTGCCTCACAACAGACACCATTGAATTCCACTGGTCACTCTTCTCGCTAGAACTCCAAATAATACCTTTTGAGGC